TCAAGCTCCAGTTGATTCTATTGAGTTTCCTATGGGATCAAAAGAAACACTTGCAAGGAACTGGAGCTTCCATTTTTCTCAAGTCAATTATATTTCTCTTTTTATCTTCGTTGTGGACAAAGATCTCTCAAAAAATGGCTGTCTTACACACGCCACAACAGTCCTTTCTGAACCCTATATAGACCCTAAACCCTGAGCCGAGTCACCAGGTCACCTGCAAGTGAAGGGGGATCGTGTAGGGAAACATTTCATGTTCCTGGCAATTGGTCTGCACTCGCACCTGGGCTCAGGATTTGCTGTCTGGGTTTAGGGCCTTATGTAGAACCCTTCTTCATAAACCCTCTCCTCTTAAAGGCCTTAAAATTAGGATCCCTATTGTAATCCCTATTCGTGGAGAGGGGTTTAGCAATAATGGGTCTACAATCGGGCTTAGGGCTTAGGATGTCGGATTCAGAACTGCGGATTCAGGATTCCGGATTTGGGCTTTCGGGCGTAGGGTTCGGCCAGGACTGTGGCCCGCAAACGTATCAGCAGGTAAGGGTGTTGGGGGATCCTCGGCTTTAGGGTTTTGAGTTTAGGGTTTAGAATCGGCCTCAACACGCCTTCCCTTGCTACATACGCTACCAGTACCCAAAAAACCCCTCATATAAAACCCCCTAAACCCTCAATAGCAGTTTGCATTTTATTTTCCATAATCCCAATGTAACCCCAATATAACACAAATATTACCCGAATGAGTGAGCACGTGAATAACGAATACTTGGACACTCTGGGTTGCCAAGTTCGGGTCTCTTCATCGGATGTAGATGTGAGGTTTTCAGGCTTCAGATGGGTCGAGGATTTGGGGGTTTAGGGTTGGGGTTTGGGATTTAGGGTTGAGAGTCTAGGGTTTAGGGATGTGGGTTTGAGTTTTATAGGCCTCAGATGGGTTCGAAGAAGGAAGAGGTAGCAGCAAAGGTGTATGTAAAGGGTATATGGCTATGATAGGGCCCATGGCATGGTGCCCGGAACCTCCAACCTGCCTTCCGCCAGGACCTGTGTACAACAAGTATACGGACCCTAAACCCTAAACCCTAGCAAATGAGTGCACATCTGGTGCTTCTCTACATAAGACCTTGGGCTTGTGGTCTTCAAAATATTCGTGCCGCAGCCACCCAACTTCAGAAACCCTCCTCACCCGAGGAGTCGAAAGATTAAGGCAAACAACTTGTATGCTTCTGGGCGCTGAGAGCAATAACTGTAACCGAAAATGAAGCCTACACAAGAAATACGCTACGGACACTTGTCCGCTTCAACAGTTCTGTCCGCTGAATATGTTTGTAGCCACGGCGCTCCCTTCTATTTGTTGTTGTGGGCTATAGTCTAAACTCCTAGCATCCACCATAAAAAGTCCTATATTAGGAACCTTATCGCCCTTTAGGAGTTTAGACTACAGCTCTTGTGGTGTTTTCACCATAGTAGTTAGTAGGCGAAGGCCCGGATCAAACAATTGTGTTGGGCTCATCTTTGATCCTTGACCCAGTACCGGGATTCCTGAGATGGTTTCTGTAGTTTCGTAAGGGGCTGTCTGGATCACAGACAAGTGTTGAATGCATCTTTGATCCTTGATATGTTACTGGAGGTACTGAGACCGTCCCAGTATTCTCAGTGACGGATCAAAGATCAAAGACGAGTCCAATGTGTTGCTTTGATCCAGGCCTTCCATTGCTACACATCATAAATAGACATGTTTAAATGTCAACGTAGTACACGAGAGGACACCTAAAAGTGTTCGACAGACAGGTCCACAGCGTCCCCATCCCAAACCTGGACCTATAACGTAGCACAAATCTAGGGGTCCAGCCTATCTTCCCATCCCACCCCCAAAAAATCCTCGTATTCCCAAACCATATAGCCCTCCCTCGATACATGACTGTTCCACGCGCAGGCTGTTTTGAGGTGAGCACCTTCTGCAAAGTCTTCGCGCGAGGTTCGGGCACCTGCTGGGGCATTAAGGCTTCAAAGCCTGAGGGCTTAGAATTGCGGTTCGCTTTGAGAACACCCCAGGTCGATAGCGGTACAAAGAGCCAGGGTTCTTGAATCCTGTAGTATTTGGATGTTTTCAACTAGAACAGCCTTACTGGTTACCAGATACTAAACCATAAACTCCTAAACCCTAAACCCTAATCCCTAAATCCTAATAATGCTCCAGAGCGGCCTACCACTGGGGTTGCTTTTTTTGGAAGACATTTAGCTTCCATTTTCTAAGCTTCAGGGAGCCCAATAAAGCCACGGAATATACCTTACAGTATACTGCGACCCTTAATTTGTTTCAGGTACATGTATTAACTAAGCTATGTTTTGCTCCCTGGGTACTTGTTGAGTAACCTGAAGACCAGTGTGGAAGATATTGAGCACTGGGTTACAGCTTCTCATAATGGCTGGATTGCATATGTACTGCCCCTTTATCACCAGAGCATGAGGTGCTTTCACATTCTTATTAACAAGTAGAGGGGCCGAGAAGACTCAGATAAGATTTCTTCCCCTTGCAAAAGTGGGTTGAGCTCCCCATGTATGCGGTCCTTTTGAATCGTCTACATATTTCCAGGAGAAACGACCAATCTTGCAGCGCTGAAGATGGCCTCCCCAAACTGCTGGCACCATGGGACACTTGGAGGGCCAGGGGGACTCAGTAAGTAGGTTTATGATTCAGATAAGTGCGCTATATGCCTTATGGGGGTTATTTTCCTACTTGCTTAGCCCCTATGACCCTCCATGTATCCTCCTCTGAAGCAGCTGATATGATGTGGCTAGTTAGTCTGTGTGCTTCTCACCCTTGACCCTGAGCTGAATTACCGCAATCCTGAAGCCTACCCCCCAAACCCAATAGCCACATCCTAAATCTCAGTTACATGGAGCTTCTGAAAGTGGGGTTGCCCACAAAGATCTTTTTTGGGGGATGACAAAGCGATTCGCGGGGTCCCCTTTACAGATTTTAGGGGCCACTTGACAAAAGCCGAACTGACTATCCTTACAGATGCCAGAATTCTAGCCCATGATGCTCATACTCATACTTATCCCCGTGATTAGCTTTCCGTGAGACTTGCAATTGCGGGGCCCTCTCCTTACTGGCGTTTGCCTAATGCTGATTTGTTGCTTTTGGGTGGAGTTTCATGGTTCCTTTTTTGGGATACGTTCAGGTATAGCCTCACATTCCTTGCTGGGTTCTAGTATATACTACAAATTGGAATTCATGTCAAACGATGACCCAGGCGCACAGCTTCTGGTTTTCGGGTTTAAATACTGAAAACGCGAACACCCAAACTCTAGAAATGCCTGCAGACGAAATGGACCCTAAAACGGTCTCGTATACCTGCATTGTTATAAACCCAATTGGGCTACATGAGCTACTGTCTAAACTCCTAGTATCCCCGTTAATAACCCCTATAGTAGTCCCGTATAAAACCCCCTTTAAGGAGTTAGACTATAGCTCACATGGACCAGAAAGCCTCCAGGGTTCATGCCGTTCTCAAAGCCCTAAACCCCTAAACCCTAAACCCCTGTCGCGCCTTCGCTGCCTCCTTCGTTGCAGCCTCAGCCGCTTCCTTGGCGGCTTTGGCTGCAGCTTGCTCTAGCATAGCCGAAGCGAGCACAGCCACCTGGGCTCTCTGGCCGGGGCTTCATATTCGAACCGGGGACATATGAGCCACTGTCTAAACTCCTAGTATCCCCCTTAATATCCCCTATAGTAGTCCCCTATATAATCCCCTATATATCCCCCTTTAAGGAGTTTAGACTATGGGACATATTACGTCGCGATCAACACGGGAGTGCGCAGAGCTCAGGGAATTCGGGGCATAGGTTTCTGAGGATAAGGCTGGGACTTGGGATTTGGGGGTGTCCTAAAATCAGGAGATCCAACTATTACAGAGTGGTGGGGGGGCAGTACCCAAACTGAATAAACCCCCAAAAGGTTCAGGATCCATGCATGCTGAACAGGGTTGATAGTACTGCAGGGTATATGATAGCAGTTGTGGATTCATGTACTCCACAAGTCAAGGCATCCTAACCTACACCCTGGAACCTAAACAAGCAAAACACAAAGCTGCTGGACGGGCTGTTTCGGGGTAAGGGTGCACCAGTCACGGCTGGCGTTCGTAGCCTCAGCATCTAAAGTCTAGAGCTCCAATCGGGAAGCACGCTACGTTGAGAGGACGATGCATTTAAACTTAAGGCACACGTGCTTTCAGTAAAGTAGAATGCGCCTTACTTCCACCCCTTTACAGCATGCCTCTAGACCACACTCAGGATTACCTAGAGATTGTAGGTCTCCATCAGCCCTCCTGTAGTTGCCTTAGACTAGGATCTCCACGCCAGATTTTCATATTTGTCCTTAGGATCTCTCTTGGTATGCCGGAGGGTGCCTGCAGGCTCTTTAGACTTAGCAAGTCCACCTATTCTTAAGCCCCGCAATCTCTGCATTGTCAAGTAAGCTCACTAAATCAAGAAGCCCCAAACTCTGACCCTACGACTCAGGCAGCAACCGCGCTGGCGAATGTGGGGTCTTCTTGCAAGGTCATCTGCCGGCGGGACTCGGTTTGTGGGTAGGGCTTAAGGTCTGCCAGTGGGATCAGGGGCTCCGTGCATGATTGAGGAAGATTTGGTGGATCCCAAAAACAGAGGGACCCCTTAATCTACAGGCCTGCAAGACTATAACCCTCATTATAGAGAGCACCCGAAAGGGGCTCCCTCCCTTTTGGAAGCCCCCTTTTGAAAACCCAAGCTTTGACATCTAGGCTTTGGGGACTTTCGAGCTTTGACTTTGCGTATTCCCTGGACCCTGATACCCTGCTTGCAGGGTACCAAACTTTAAGTCTCGCATGCTGTGCATAAAGTTTGTATGAAGGGTTGAAGCTAAGCAAAACCTCTTATCCAGATTCACGCGCCTATGTGGGACTTTCTCAGCTGGTGGGATCCTGTGGATATTTGGATGATGAGGCGATTGTATGGGTTTAGGGTTTAGGGGTTTAGGGGTTTAGGGGGTAGGGTTTAGGGAGCCCTCGGATGAAGGATTGCACAGGGATCAATTTGTCCCTAAACTGAAAACCCTCAGCCCTAAACTCTAAAGTACCCTGGAATCTGATATGGCCTGCTCTACATCCTCCATCGCGGCGACGAGGAGTTCCGTCTTGGATGCGGGCCATGCTCAAGTTTTTTTTTTTTTTTTATAATACAGGGTCTTATAAGGGTATATATAGCTCTATACGG